ATAAATATCCATAATTTGTTATGAACCACATAGTCATATACCTTTGTGTAGTCAATAAAACACAGGTAAACAACTTTCTAGTATTCTCTGCTTCACCCAAGATCCATCTGACATCAACAATGATATCCCTTGTTCTACATCCTCTTCTGAACTTGGCTTGAACTTCTACAAGTTCCCCATTGATATACTACTGCAATTGTTTTTTAATTATCTTCAGCAAAATTTTATTTACATGTTATATTAATGATATCATTCAATAATGTCTGCATCCAGTTTGACTACCTTTCTTTGGAATGGGCACAAATATAGATCTCTTCCAGTTAGCCAGGTAGCTATCTTCCAAATTTCTTGACATAGACAAAAAAGCACTTCCAGTGTTTCATTTGTTTGAGGAATGTTAATAATTAATAAAATTCTTACATAGCAATGTAGACAGAGTATATTACTAAAGAAACTCAAAAATATCCAGAAGCTGGCCTTCTGTTAGTAATTTAAATGTTCTCTGAATTGAGTAATCAAGGAGAAAATTATTCTTTAAAAAATACTGTGTGTGTGTTTTTAATATGGTAGTCACAATAGAATTTGAATTTCACCTTTTTTAGGATTATTTAAGGGATTTTTTTTAAGCTTGTACTGAAATGGGTTCTTGCATTTGTGACCAGGCACCTCTTTCATCATCCTCTCTCAGTTGGAGGTCTCTGACCATGCACTAACAGGCATTATTGCAGGATTTGGTTCACATCTTAACATGTCATACTGCATGAGGAGAAGAATCTTAAGCACTACACCACCAGAGCTCCCAAAAGCATTTTAAGCATGTCTAATTTATAAATCTCTTTTTTATAGCAAGCAACCGGCATAGAAGCCCTAAGAGTGTTAGGTAAGAAAAGTCAGATGATACTGCTCCAAACTGCCCCTGCAAGCAGACCTCATAATCTGCTCCCATAGAGATTACAGCCTGAGGAAACCCTGTGGTACAGTTCTACTGTCACATGGGATTGCTATGATTCAAAATCAATGTATTGGTACCTAATAATAACAACAGCAACAGTAGTTCTACTAAGAAAATTCAGTTAAGATTCAGGAGCTACATTTTTCAAGGTTACTAAAAGAAATTATTTTTGTTGCCAGTGAACCCGTTGGCTGTTTCTGAATGTTGCCAGGATTATGGTAATGTTTGTTTTCTCTTTGTCATGGTGTTTACATGCCCTGGCTTAAGCCACAAGTGAAAATGAGTGATGCTCTCCCAGTCTCACCTCAGTCCTAATGGATGTTTGTCTAAGTGACATCACCCAGTTTTGCACTGCTAATGCTCCAGCAGCAACAGCTTGGGACCAGACTGGGGGGTGGAAGATGTGTGCTACACATGACAGTCAAGGGGCACAAATGGTGAGATTAGAAACCTTCTATGAAGCAGATGCTTCCTCCTCTCACCTCCAGATCTCGAAGCACTTTTTTGTTCTCTTTGTGTCTCACGGTGCCTTAACAGACCATAAATATTTGTTAAATCACAGAATTTCAAAACTTCATTAAATACTCTTTCTGAAGGTAATACTGAACTTTCTTCTTAGGAGCGTAGACCTCTCAGGCTTGATAGACATAAGTTTGTGACAACTGGAAAATGTCATCCAGGATGAAGATGACAGGTTGCTGTCTGGGGTCAGTTGATAGAGTGTTATACATGGCTTCCCTCTGAAGGCTTGACTGAGAGCTCGATTAACATAGCAGGCTGCTCTTCCAGATATGTGTCTGCAACAGAGCATTTAGCAAACTGTATACGGATTTCTACTTTGTTCGCCATTGTCCTGAGCACTCTATGTGGATGTGTTGGACACAGTGGGGCCTTTCAAGAAACATCAGGACAATACTGAACAGAGCATGACAGGTCTTTAGAGGGATGTGCCTGCTCTCACCTAGGCCTGCAAGCAGACTGTGGACTGAAAGGGGAGCCATGAATTGAGTGCTGACGGCAGGCCATGGCAGTCCAAAGGCTCAGGTGGTTGTCAGCCCTAAGTTTAGCTCAGCTCTTTGAGTAATTTGTCACGCCTTGCTCAGCCCCTGCTGGGCCAGCACGTGCCAGCTTAGTGTCAGAGTGCCTGCTCGCCAGACGTCCACTCAGGCCTAACATCCTGCTGTTCCTCAACCAGCGGCTTGCTGGGGCCGTGCGCCGAGGGCCGGGTCACAGTGACAGCCAAGTGCTGTGCAGAATAAGCGTGTTCGTAATGAGATGTGAATGGCATTAGTGGGTCCCTCTAGAATTGGGCCTGAGCAGACACCTCTTGTAGAGAAAGTTTGGCAGCCTGTTCGTTAAGGCAAGTCACCAGGAGGACAGTGCAATCAAGAAGCCAGTTCAGGCTAGTGCCGCCCCAGGCTTTAGGCTTTTGTGACTATCCACATGAAAGATCATAAATCGTCAGAGGAACCACTTTGGAAATCTCCATACTCACTTTCCTTTAGAGAAGTTCTGGACTAGCACTGTCCAGCAGAGCTTTCTGGGATGATGGGAATGTTATACATCTGTGCAGTCCAGGAAGGTAACCCCTCACCACATGTGAGTATCGGGTGCTTGAAAATATAGACAGTAGGAAAGGGGAACTGAATTTTTTTTATTTTTTAATTTTAATTTAAATACCCACATGTGGCTCATAGCTGCCCTACTGGATAGCACTATTCCAGAATGTCTCTGTCTCCTCACATTATGAAAATCATCCTCCGAATATAATGAAAGGATAGGGAAAGGGAGACCTTGAATTTAGAAGTCAGTGTATATACTGTGCCAAAAAGAAATAGAAAAGTATTTCCTATGTTAAAATACATCATGCTCTATTGAGAGCCTGGTGGAACCCCTGAGACTATGGCCCCTAGCTGCCCTTCAGGTCTAGAACTGAACCCACTCCTGTGGCTTCCAACCAAACAAAAGATAGGCATATGAGCTGGACATTTACATTTGGTAGATACACTCCTTGAAGAGATCAATCCCATGATAGAAGGGCTGTATATGCACAGGGAGACAGCTAGGGGGCGTGGAGTGCATAGGAGGGAAGGACAAAGGGAAGAGGTAACTATGGGGAGGATGTGGGAAGAGAGCTGTTGCATTGTAGGAAATTACAGTCAATGTCATGAGACAAAGTATGAACTAATGTATGGAAAGTGAATTCTCTGTAAACTTTCACCCAAATCATAATAAAAATAAAAAAATAAAAATCATGCTCTATTGAAAGGTGACCATAAGATTCAACAGTTTCAACAGTTCAACAGCTTCTACATGTACAATTCAGTGATGCTGATTATATTCTTCGAGTTGTGCAACCATTCTCACTCTCCTTTTCTGAGTTGTTCTTCTTCCATTTACATAAACTTACTTCCCCCTAAGGTTCCAATCTCATCTGTTTAGTTGCTATTGTCAGTTTGATCCCCTCTAGATAATTCTTGAAAGAGCTCAAGGTAGACATTTTTACTGGTTAAGCCAAACAATGTTTGGTTTTAAGAAGACTGCAGAGGATATTTTTGGTTTCAGGTTTAAAGACTCAGGGCAGTAGTTTCAGGGATTCCTCCAGCGTCCATAACTCCAGAAAGTCTGGAGGCCATGAGAATTTGAAATTCTGCTTTGCAATTTCCCCCTTTTAATCAGGATTTTTCTCTAGAATCTTTAATCAAGATGTGTCGTAATGGTAGCTGGGCATCATCCAGTTCTTCTTGTCCTGTGGCAAAGAAGGCAACTGGCATGGAGGTGATTGGCCACACCTTCCATTTCCTCTTCCTATTCCTGACTCTCCTTCTTCCTCTGATGCTCCAGACAAGTAGAAACCAATTGTTATGTTGAATGGCCATTTGCAAGCTCTTAAGATTCAGGAACTATAAAACAAAGTAGGAACTAAAACAGAACCAACTTATATTGTAAAAGAGGCCATTTTGTATGTAGTTTTAAAATATAATGAGAAATGCTAGAAGTACTTTTCCTTTTCTGGAGCTGCAAATAATAATTTGATGGTGATCAATATTCCCTCTGTTCCTGAACAATTAACATGTTTTCCAAAATACTTTAAACATGTTTTTTAACTTTTGTGTCAATAATGAGCAAGAGAGAAATGAGACATCATGCTGACTTACCCAAGTGTTAATTCATAAAATCATGTGTGCAGTGCCTTCATCCACTGCCGAGTTGTTCTGACGTTATCCTGTTATTGGAAGTGCATGATTCACCTTCTGAGGAGCCAGAAGCCATACACAAAGGAGAAGATTTGCTTTCTGCCTTGTGAAAGGCTGCCCCACGCAGGGGTCCTATTAAGACAGCTGGAAAGTTGCTTCAGTGCGTTACGCTTGTAAGTTTTATTGGTGACTGGTTTTTGATTACACATTTGAATGCTGTGTGTTCCAGACTGCAGTTTTAATTAAAAGGCAATAGACATTTTTTTTTTTCCACATTGTACACATTTTGCTAGATTCTTCCACATATTAGTTCTTATTTTCTAATGCTCATGGCTTATCTTGGTTAGAGGCTCTGATGCCCCATCAGAATACCTTTCTGACCCCTCTTCCCAATATCAGTCATTTTCTTATTTTCTAAATGTGTGCACAGTTGTATCACCAGTTCCAGCTTGCAATATGTCATAGGTTGAAGAATGTTTTCTTCAGTGAAATAGGAAAGAAAGATCCAACAGTGGCTCTCCATTGTCAGTCTCAAGAGATCAGTTTATTTTTGTTTATTTAAATCCACCTTAATGATCTCTTGACATTATTCTGTACCTATTGGTTTAGCTATCTTTTTAATGATAACCAGGGTTGAATGCAATTGAAGTCTAAGACAAACTTAGATCTCAAAGTCAGAAGTTTGTTATTAATCATGACCAATATTTAATTTTCTGAGAGGATGCTAGAGAACTTATATTTTCTTCACACAAATGTAAAAGGTGTTTAACTGTTTTAAAACAAAATGAACCATGCCATTGTTATGCATGTCATTCTGCACAAGCATTTGTTTCCTTAACCAATCACTGCAGCTACGAAGAGCGAGCTCTATACCTCGAAGCAATAATTCAGAATCACCGTGAAGTAATGACATTTGAGGATTTCGCAGCCCAAGTATTTTCTCCCTCTTCCAGCTACTCCCTCAGCGGAACGGGTGAGTGTCTACATTATTCTTCTCTCACGCGCTTAAGACGCATTCGAGCAGCAGATGTACACCTGTTTTTCACAGATAAATGCTTGCAAATTTAAGAAGAACATTCTCCCTCTGAATCAACTAATGAATATCAAAAGGAACGATGACATTCATTTTAATTTGTTTTGCATCTGAGCTGTTCACTCAGTTCTTTTCTTCAGCTATCCTGTTAACCTCCAAATCTAGCAAGGTTAATGAACTTTTTCTCAGTAATGTGCTCTGGTTCATTCAGGAGTGTGAGTTTCTTGCTGAGCTGGGAATATGTTGTTTAAAAGCGATGCCCAAATCAGTGCTTCTTATCAAAAAAGAGTTCCTCACAGTCGAAGCCGTTGCTACTAATGCTAAATGGGGATTATGCTGCCAAGATACCAGGGTCAAGGATTAATGCAGGAGAAATGTAAGCACGGTGTCCCCTGGTCAGTCATTACAGCAGGGCAGCAGGCCTGCTTTCTCTCAAGTGGTCTGTGTGCATATGGACAAACTGCTGACCAGAGCAGCACCTGGTGTGGGACCAGTTTAGAAGCTGGCTTATGATCATTTAAATTTATTAGGCTGATGGAAAATTGTAGAAATTTTTATGAATGTCCTTGTTTTTAGGCTTTTACTTCCTTTTTTTATATTTCCAATGTGGCGGGGGTGGGGGGCAGTGGAGAATATTTATACTGCTATTTAATCTGATTGTATTGTTACTGTAGGTTTTTCGGTTTTTTTTTTTTTTTTTACCCAAAGAACAGAATTATTACTAAGAAATTTCTGCATGTAATTATAGATTAATTGCCTTTCAGGAAAAAAATGGGATATTTAATGCATGTTGAAATTCTCAGTGAAGGGCTTCCTTCTCCTTCCACTGGTGCTTAATAGATTTCTAACCTGTGTCGATTGTCTCCGAAAACCACTTTTCTTCTCCTATTCTGACTTGTTAACAAATATCTTACACACAAAGTGAAAAAAATTAAATTCAGTGAAATAAATCACTTACAAATAAAATCATCCATGCATCATTGTTTAACATCGCTGGATTCAATCCTTGCCTCTTCGAGCTTTGTTGGGAGATAAGAGGGAGAGGCAGGCACTCGTTCAGAGAGCCAGGAGCAGCAGGCAGAAGGCTTGGGAGATAAGCAAGCTGGCAGAGGTAAGGAGAACTACATGATTTACATAATCACGCCTCTCTTTCCTGGTGAGGCGTCAAGAAACACAGGGATGGCCTCTATTGATCTTTGTTGGACTGGAATACTAAACAACTTGAGAAAAGCTTATAACTTAAAGCTTTGATTAATGTTTCGTACACTAAAAAAGTAGAACAGCTGTGAATTGAATTCTTTTATACACTCTGCCAACATTTTAAGACAATGAAAAAATCACTTTCAAGGCAAATGAAGATTTCATACACAGTCTGGCTAGAGGTTTAAAATTGTTTCTGATTTTTAGGTGAAAGAACATGAAGGATCTGAGGCCAAGCTAATTTTTTTGAGATCCCATTGAGCTTTTTCTCATCCTTGTGAGGTATTGGGATTTGACATTCAGTGGACGGGTGTTTATTTGTTTGTTTAACTTTGAGAAAGCCTTTCATTTCTTAAATTTTTTTTAGAAAATTTAAGTAATAACTAGATGTTTACGTTCCTTAAGTCAGCTGGTACATTCTTATGGTTCTTGATCAAGATGTTACTGAAGCTTCAAGGTTATCGATGAAGTTTATTTTCTATGTGTATTTTAGGCTGTATACAACTTAATTTGATCTTTTCAGAAAGTTCATATTTATTTAAACAAATTTAGGTAACATCTTAAGTGGGACTGTATGAATAACACAAGTTTTAAGACCTCCTCCTTGGAGAGGATTGTTACCAGGCATCTTTGAGAATGTCACATTTACAAAAGTTACTTAACAGAATAAAGATTCCAACAGCATATAAATAATGGACATTGGAACTTTTACCAAAGGAACATTAAGCTAAATAAGAGATAATCAAAACAAGTGCTGGTCCTTCTTCTTTACTAATTATTAACATCACTATTACATTTCATAATGTTATAGCTTAGAATGTTAAGTGTTGAATGGGAAAAATTTTTTATACACATATCACTACTAATACACAAGTGTGATTTTAACTCTGGGCATAGTGTTCTATATTAACAATATACATATCTGCAGTAACAATGATTAAGAAGGAACTAGAAATGAACTTGATTTAGACTAAAATTTGGGGGCAGGACAATGAGGTGCCTTGGTGGTACAATGGTTAAAGTGTTCAGCTACTAAGCAAAGGTTCCACAGTTCTAACCCCCAGCAACTCCACAGGAGAAAGACGTGGTAGTCTGCTTTCATTAGGGTTACAGCCTTGAAAACACTGTGGGACGGTTCTGCTCTGTCCTATAGGGTCACTATGAGTTAGACTTGATTGTACAGCAGTGACTTTACAATAAGGGTAGAGCATTTCATCACCATATACAGGCACATTTTCAGAATCACATCCTTGTCTCATTTATGTACTGATTTTCAGGAATCTTTATCCCAGTCTGTTACTCCTTTTATAGGTGAAAACGTTTTCATTTATTTATAGTTTTTTTTGTAGTTGTTGTTTTGTTTTGTTTACTTAAGACAAGTACAATCAAACCCACATGAGCTAACTTAAACCAAGAAAGTGAGGCTAAGTCTGCTCTTCCAAGCAACAAGCCAACTGGAAAAATTGACCCTGAGCAGCTTAAACTCCCACAGTGTGCACAGGACCCAATCAGACCATCTCTGCCTATCAGTGTCATCAAAGCAGGGCCCTGGGCTCCCTGCTCACATGCATATGCACAATCTGAGGAATTAGGGGCTCCTAGATTTTCTTTGTATCCTTACAACAAGGAGCTTTATCATTCATGCAGAAAGAGAGTTAACCTTAGCACTGTATTTGCTTCACACTGTATTTGTAGCAGCAAGCCAGAATGTAGCATGCAGCCCCCATTTCTTAGAGGGAGGACCCCCGATAACAGCCTTTCAGTGCTAGCTCAAAGTAAAAGATGTGCTAACTGGGTATGGTCTGTGCCCAGACATGCCGCTGTTGGAAAGTACCCTCTGCCACAGACTCTCTACCCAAGTACTGCTGCAACCCACCCAAGTCAGCCACCCAGGGCAGGTTGGCCGAGTAACACCTTTCTCATGATATCTGCCAACCTCAGATGAATATGCAAGGACCTTTGTTGTTAGGCTAATGCATGGGGTGCTTCACTTATTAAAAAGAGCTTTAGAGAAAAAAAAAGTATTTTCACAATCAGAAAATGTTATTTCAAGATGTCATCTGCCTCATATCTATTCCATCTATTACTCATATCAGTAATTCCCAGAGCATAATAGGTATTTCAACTGCTCTTTCACCTAGCCCAGTAGTTTACCTTCCTTTATTGATTGCTTCCTTTACTGACCAGCAACATCTAAATATCTAAAAGGTAACTAGTGTTAAAATACTGGCTACGCTTTGTGTGTGTGTGTGTGTGTGTGTGTGTGTAGAGAGATGAGAGAGGAGACTAAGTTGTGTTTTCAAGCATATTACTAAGGAAAGGGGGCCATAGAGAGGGCTTTATAGGGTTAACTGGAATAGGCACCCTGGACTGCTGGGAGGGACTGATGTAATCACCACAGCTCATAGCCAAGTGCATCTGTTCACCATGAGGTCATTCTTCTGCATGCTAATGATTTGGAAAATCAAGTCTAATGTTTGACATTATCGGAAGGGATATAAATAATATAAATCTTTACTTTTCAGAAGCTGTTCTTTTAGAGAAAAAAAGAAAGAAACTTAGCTTTGACTAGAAATTTTTCTAGGCTGCTTTAAAGATTGTGTGTGAACTTTTAAAATGTTGGAGGAATCTACTTGTTTCTGTTGATAAATGAATCCCATAATTACTGTTACAGTTGCAGCTAGCACTTTGGTACTCAGTTTACTTGAGTAAGCCCAATTTAATATCTGATTTTAAGAATTTCCAAGTACCTTGATGAGAAGTTGATAAAGAAGATTTTTTTCCCCAAAAGAATGTCTAAAACCAAGTTAAATGAGTGGCATACCTAATTTTACTGTATTTGCTAAAGATGCCAACACTGTTTAGGTTCATTTCTATTTCAATACTGCTATGAAGAGCCAGCAGAGGGAGCACCGATCTTTGTTTATTTGTTAGCCCTACACAAACACAGCACTTGATTTCTCCAAGATCTGATCAGAAATGCTTCACTTGACTACTAACCAGAAGGCTGGCGGTTCAAACCCACCAACCACTCCTCGGAAGGAAGGTTGAGCAATCTACTTCCATAGTGATACTGCCTCGGAAACCCAAGGAGGCGTCGCTATGAGTCAGGGCCGACTCGATAGCACATAACAACAACTCATGGCAGGCTGAAGTGTAACAGCTCCAGGATTTAGAAACCAGTGAGAGAGAATTCCTCACTAGTCTCCTCCAGATTGTAATGTAGGTCATATATGGAGCTTAAACCAGATTCATTTCAGTCAGTTTTAGGATGCTGCTGTTGATGTTTTTTCAAAATTACGGACTTTCATCTTTCATGCTTAGAAATCATATGGATAACCTTTTGGAATGGATTATTATACTCACCTACCTAACAGAAAAAAAAAAGACTTTTATAATTTTTCTTACCAACAAAATCATCACAGAAACTCTACCAGAAGACTCTGTCTGGTCTCAGTGGATCATTCTAGTGACCAGTAAATTCCCCTTATAAAACTGCAGGCAGAAGGTAAGCATGTTGTAAAAAGAATTTTTCATTGGCTGTTTCACTGGGCCCTTAGTAATCAAGTTAATCCCAGAAGCAGCACAAGGTAAACCCCAACCCTAATCCAGAAAAAAATTTTCCCCATTCATTGAAACGGCAGTCATGTTAGATTCACCTCTCTTCTTTTAAAGTGGTCAGTTAAGCTTTTGATGGACAGTATGTCTTATGTGTGCTGCTTCTTCATAATGTTGCTGAGACCAGTATGGAACATTACTGAATGTAGAGCTAGAAGGGAATCTTAGGAAATAGCAAGTCTAGCCCCTTCACATTATTTTTGAGTAAGTAGAAGGCCAAGCTGGGAAGGGACATCCAAAGGCCTTCAGCAAGTTGGAACCAGAACCAAACCCAAACCTCCCCACCTCCTTCCTTCATATCTTTCTTCTCTTCCACAAAGTGAAATCAGTGCTTGTTCTAATTACATTAAGACTCAGGTGGTTACCAACTTCCCTTATGTGGTAAGCTGTCATCAAAAATTGGTTGATAGTTATATTGCTCATAGGGTTACTAACCAGAGAGAGTTTTTCCATCTACATAAACCAGATAGCCTCTTTTAAAGTAGTAAGAATAGGAACAAATACAGTCTGTTTTTTTTTTAGAAAGGAGCCAACTCAAGAGACCTA